AAAAATCCTTATGCCCCCTTTGTTAGAGAAAAACAGGGTTTAGAAAGAGTGATATGGGAGATGAGGGAGGGATTTCCTAGAGGCAGGTGTGTAGAAAGCCTCGGCTGCCTGCCTTCCTCTGGAGGGGATCTCCTGGTGTGTCAGAGCGAGGAGCTGATTGTAGCTGCTGGGTCTTCTCTGTGCCAGCGTGAGGTGGAAGCCTCATGGAAGCTGTGTTTTACAGCAAATTGCAGCTAAAGCAGCTGCAGAAGTGACCTTATTGTATGTAATCCATTAAATCACGGGAGGAATTCATACAACAAGGGCTTTTCTTGAAGGCAGAGAAGATTTAACTATTCTTTAAATTTACTATTTGGCAATAATTTTCCTTTCAGGAAAAGATTCTGAACAATGCATCAAACTGCCCTCCTGCGTCTGCTCCCTCTACAGAAAGTTCAAAGTCAAGAAGAGCAAAACTTGTTTTTGATGACAGGTAAGAAGAGCAAGAGGTGCCTTTCCCTTTGCAGGGCTGTGATTGTGGGTGCATAACCACCTCCCTGTGGGGGGGGGGTGCTCCTTTTGCTTCCAAAAAGCTGTTAAGGACAAGCTCAGGCTCTGGAGAGCTGTGCCTTGTTCCTGGGGGGATGTGCCCTGGGCCATCAGCTCTGCAGACAGCTCGGTCTGCCCTCTACCTTCTTGCTGAGCATAAAGGGAGCAGCAAAAGCTTAAATATCTCAGAGTTATTCTGGTTTTAAGTGCTGGTGGGTCCTTTTCACTTCCCAGGACGCTGCTGCTGCCTCTGCTTGTTCTCACCAGAGCCCGCGTCCTCTAGAGGCAGGAGTTGTGGTTGGTGACAGTCGAGAGGAGCCTTTGTTTCTTGAAATCCCAGATCCACAAGAGCAGGATCGGGATTTAATCCTGGGGGGTCAAAGAAAATACCTTGAAAAGAAAATGAAACAAGTATTTTACCGTCTTGTGGAGGCTTTAGGTTTCTCATGTACCAAGTCAAATCTCAGCACAGTGCTTCCTCTTGAAGCATTTCTCTTTGTTGTTCTTTAAATTCACTTTACAGGTAAAATTATGTTTATACTAAATGTAAAAGTAACTTCCTAGTTCAGAACTCTTTGGAAGTGGGCAAGCTGGCTGGCCAGTGCTTTTCTCCTGATAGTTATTCCTTCGGGGAAAAAAAAAAAAAGTGGAGTGGATTAGATGATTAGAGTACCCTGTCAATAGTTTGTGCAGATTTTGTAATTATTCCAAGACAAAACAGGATGAAGGAATTGAGATAAGATCAAATTTCAAAAAAAAAAAAAAAAATTAAAACTGAATGTGTATTGATGCGTAGGAATGATGAGAGACATAATGAGAGCCCTCTGCAAGGGCCAGTAATTGTGCTTTGGAAAGGCGAGATGTGACAACCTTATGGTTACAGCTGAGACAGCGTAGGATTTTGTGAGCCTGGAACAGATTGAACTCATTTTTGACGTATATAATCTTTTTAATATTAACTCTTGCTTTCTAATGACATCCATTTCCTGTAAGTGGACTGTTAAAAAATGTACTTTACAGGTAAAATTATGTTTATACTAAACATATCTTGTAAGTGGACAGTTAAAAAATGCTGATTTCAAATATCTTTAATACAAATAAATTAAGTAAGATAGGGTGGATGGGAGAATTTATTTCAAACTTTAATCAACTCGTAGGTGATATGTTAATATATTGTAATGTCTAATTACAGTTTTATGATTGCTTTCTGCTCACCTAGTCATGGAAGTCATTTAACATTGATTGTCTTGGGTGGCTAAGCAAAAGCAATTAACACCTGGATGTATCTTTATTTATTTATTATTATTATTATCATAATTTTAAAATATTTCACACCCTCAGAACTCCAGTCCTGGAGGTGCTGGATTAATTTGTCCTCAAATTTTGATGTTTTTTTCCTTTCCCCTGCCCATGTTGTTGGTCAAGTGTTTGATTTGCTTGACAATCAAATGCAATAAATTTAACCAAGTCACTTTTACTTATCAACTTGCTTGAAACACTGTTTAGAATTATCTGCTTTGAACTATTTTTAGCAATTTGATCACACCGTAACTAATCCCACTAGTTAACTTTAACAGTTTTATCACAGTAAAAGCTGTACCATAGGAGCTCTTGTAACCTGAGTTAGGCAGAAAAAATGTGAAATTTGACAACATGCAGAAACTTCAAAGAAATAAAAGGAACTGTGGTGTGGGTGGGGCTGAGTCCATGAGTTTGTGTCTCTGTTGCAGGACTTACTCAGCTGATCATTATTTACAAGAAGCAAAGAAGTTAAAACACAACGCGGACGCATTGGTAAGTAAATCTTTCAATACCTCCCCAACGTTTGCAGGTTATACTGGGGTTATGAACTGCTTTTGCCCTTTTGCTGCCCTTCTGTACGGGACCTTTCTTGTTCTTCCTCTCTGGTTTTTGTCCTTACGCGTTTCCTGGGCTCTCCCCAGTCTGACAGGTTTGAGAAGGCCGTGTACTACCTGGATGCTGTGGTGTCCTTCATCGAGTGCGGGAATGCATTGGAGAAAAACGCTCAGGAATCCAAGTCCCCGTTCCCTATGTATTCAGAAACTGTGGAATTAATCAAGTAAGCATTGCAAAGGGCGTACAAACGTCAGGTGGGTGGGGAAGAGGTCTGGAAATCAGAGTTTGCTTTTAGATTTACTAAAGTTTAGCCACCAACTTCTGAAATTTCTTATCGTTCTCTAATAAAACTGGATCACTTACCAGTTCGTTCCAGTTGCTGAGGCTTAAAGTGGTTTTGTGGGGGTTGAGATCCTTTCTGTTGAGGCTCTCGATGTCTCTCTGCAACGTATAACTCAAAAGAAGCAAAATTACTCCAATTACTACCTAATCAGTGTTTAGTTTAGGGTCTGAGAGAGGTTCCTGAAGGGTTGAAGAGAGTTGAACTAGAAATTCATAAGAACGTCAGTGTTTTCTGATTGATAAATGACACTGTAATCTTCATTTTGTTGTTTACCTGATGCCTTTGTTTGCAGATACACTATGAAACTGAAGAATTACTTGGCACCAGACGCCACGGCTGCAGATAAGAGGCTGGCAGTGCTTTGGTACGTGTGCTCGGAACTTCATACGACCCACTGATTAATTTCAGATGCTTTATCTGCATGAAATGCTGTATTACACTGAGTCATCAGGTGTTTCTGAAGCAGATTTATTAGTATTCCACTTGGCTGCATGTAAAGATTAAAGCTGTATAACTGATTACTGTGAACTGGAGGAGAGGGGACATTGACAAGGGCCAAGTCTTTGAAATATTAAGGAAGTGACTAAATTTATGGGGAGTAACTGCAGAAAGGACGGGGGCCTTCCTGTGTACTCCCCCGGGGATGAGTCCACATTTGGAGTGGCTGTGAAGAATTGTCACCAGCCTCCTGGATCAGTGGAATGGCCCCTGCAGCGTAAGGACCAGAACCAGGTGGTGTCAGGTGGAGAAGAAGGGGGAGGCCGTGGCAGAACACGATGGACTCAGAATGTCCTGGCACAAGCAAAAAATCAATGAAACCCTTGTGTAGGAAGCACCTCAGGGATGTCTCCTGAGCTGGGAACTGGTTCTGTCAGCAAGATCTCTGAAAGTTAGCGTTTCAGCTTACGGCACACAAAACTCTGCTTTTGTTTCCTTGAGAATGTAAAGGTGCTTACGGATATTTTGATAGACCTACAACTCGAAACTTGGCAGAGAAAGCTTTAAAAGCACAGCTGGGAGATTTTTGAACTTCACTCAGTTGTGATTAACCTGACTCTAACTGTCCATGTTTTGTTATTCTGTCTTTGGTCAGTCTTCGGTGTCAATCTCTACTATACCTAAGGCTTTTCAAACTGAAAAAGGAAAGTGCATTGAAATATTCTAAAACTCTGACTGAGCATCTGAAGGTAATTGCAGTATTTTCTTAGAATATTAGAACCTAATCAAATTTAAGCTCTACAGCACTTCAAATTCCTGGAGGCAGTTTTCAGACTGCTGCATGGGAACTTGGAATAAACCCTATTTAGAACTGGACCTTGAAAGTATAAAGCTGGGAGGAGACAGCATGGCTGTCATAATCATACTGGTCCCAGCACGATAGCTCTCTATTAATAATTTCATTTAGCTTTTGTTGTCTTTAATAAATTTCGTAGGCTTCAAGGAGGATTTAAATTGGTCTTTCTGAGTTTTCATTGTTTGCAGTGGGATGTTTGATTTTTTTATTATTATTATTTATTTTTTCTTTGTTTAGAACTGGACCTTGAAAGTATAAAGCTGGGAGGAGACAGCATGGCTGTCATAATCATACTGGTCCCAGCACGATAGCTCTCTATTAATAATTTCATTTAGCTTTTGTTGTCTTTAATAAATTTTGTGGGCTTCAAGGAGGATTTAAATTGGTCTTTCTGAGTTTTCATTGTTTGCAGTGGGATGTTTGATTTTTTTTTTTTACTATTATTTATTTTTTCTTTATTCCCCCCATGTGAATTTAACTCAGTTCCTCTGCAACTGATTTAAGGGCTGTCAGGGAACGGAGACCAAGAGACACCTCCTTTGAATTATTAACCAAGATGTTGCAGATGAGAAAAGCTGTTATGATACTTCTGTGTTGTTACTCAGCCCTTAACCTTGGGGAGGGGTAACTGGTGTCTCTGGGTTTCTCTGAAAGTTCCAGCTATTGATACTGAGAGGAAACAGTTCTCAAAATGCAGTGGGATCTAACACTTGGAACAGAGGACTGCTCCAATCCTATATATATTTAGTGGCCTCCTTTGTGTTGCTAAAATAATCCCTTAATTTGTGTCTTAGTAAAAAAGGGTATTTTCCCAAGTTTGAATTTACTGTGATGTTATTCAGAATGTTGGTTATTGCTTAAAAGAAAAACGACAAAAATTAATTTGGTCAAAAATAACCAATTAAATGAACAGATAAAATATAATTAGTTAAAGTATAAACATAAATCAGGTGACAAGTGTCTTTTTTCCCCAAACAGAATTCCTATAATAATTCTCAAGCACCGTCACCTGGTATGGGAAGGTGAGTAGCAAAAGCTGTTACTTGTATTTCTCACTTATAACTAGTTTCCTACGTAAATTTAGAGCGTGATGTGACTGAAGGACCCAGGTTTGCACTTACAATGTCATACTTTTCTCTGGGAAGCAGCAAGCCTGTCGGGATGCCGTCTCCAGTCTCTCCAAAGCTGTCTCCAGGGAATTCAGGAAATTACTCTTCCGGGGCAGCCAACCCTTCAGGGAGCGGGTCTTCGGTGACGATCCCCCAGAGGATCCATCAGATGGCAGCCAGCTACGTCCAAGTTACGTCCAACTTCCTCTACGCCACTGAAATTTGGGACCAAGCAGAACAGCTGTCGAAGGAACAGAAAGGTAAGGGCTGGCGCGGGCGGATTGTGCCCTCGGACGTACCAGGGTGTGCTGAAACACTCCTGGGCTTCGGGGCTTGGAGTTGCAGTTAATGGGGCACAGGATGCTCAAAGTGGGTCTCTGCCTTCAATTACAGTGATATCCCAGCTGCTTGTCTTGGTTTTCAAGGCGGTGCTGGAGATGTCATGCTTCCTACCAGCTGTGCCTTGAAAAAACATAAAAATTTTTGTTGCATCTGGTGTAAGATGCAGAAAGAGGAACTCGTTACCTTTCCATTTCTGAAATTCTTAAGTGAAATGCACATTGGAGGGGAAAGGCCAAGAAAGTTTCACCACGGTTTATGATATTCTGTTTATTCTTATCAACCAGTCTTCTGCAAAAATTGCAAAGGCCAGGTTGGAGGGGGCTTGGAGCGTCCCGGTCTGGTGGGAGGTGTCCCTGCCCAGAGCAGGGGGTGGCACTGGGGGGGGCTTTAAGGTCCCTTCCAACCCAAACCATTCTGTGATTCTGATTCTACAGACATTGATTGCAAAGGACCTTTTTCCTTTATTTTTATCCTTCCGTCAGCCGTCTTTCTTTTCTTCTGTCTTAGTCTAAGAGATTCGGGCTGAAAAGATGGGGAGTTTGGGTGTAATATTTCCCATATATGAAAATACGCGCGTAGTTTAACTTGTCTTTCTGTTGTTTTAGAGTTCTTTGCTGAACTGGATAAAGTTATGGGCCCCCTGATTTTTAATTCGAGCATCATGACAGACCTGGTGCGTTACACCCGGCAGGGGTTGCACTGGCTGCGCCTGGACGCCAAGTGAGATTCTGAACTGAAGGAATGGAAAAAAAAAAAAAAAACAAACCCAAACACGTTTTTCTCGCTGCCTCTGATTTCTCTCCACAACACTGTGTCATGTCGATAAGGAAGACTGCCATAACACATTGCTTAGGTGACACTAAGAGCAAGGATTGCTTCCCCACGTCTCCCATCCTCATTTGTGTTTTGTGTTTTAACCCCGAATCATCTGGTTAATGGACTTCTTCAGTATTCCCGTTTTAAGTTATTTAAATATATTAAAATTTGCTACATATAAAGGTGTAGTTTTGCTGATCTATCCTGGATAGATCATTGGAATTCCAGTCATGATGCATAAATAGTCAGTTGAAATCCTATTTATTTTAATTTTTTTTTTTATTTTAATTTTGAAAAGCCCGGTTTGGGGCAGTTTTTAGCTATTTCTTCCCTAAATTTACCCTTTCGAGTACTTAGCAGAAATTAAACATAGACACTTTATTTAAGTACTTTGTGAGCTTTGTTACTCTGTAATGTCTTGTGGTGGTAGAGCCTGTAAAAGGAACTAGGGTTGGTAGGTTCTAACGTGTAGGGACACCATACTTTTCATGCCTAATGCCTACGAGTCGACTAATAAATGACAACTACAGATTTATTATTGCAGAATTTGTACTAAATAGAAAAATTCCAGATATTCTTCTACGTATTAAGATACTTCATTTAAATGAATTATAAAGAAATTTTTATGGAAAAGTATTTAGCTGGATCTGACTTGGATTGTTTTCAAGGCAGTTTCAAACCGTGGATTAACACTATAACAATCACAAAACATTACAGTAATTAGCATTTGATGTACTATGGCAGTAGTGGTGTGAGGCCGACCTCCAGTCCGGCGGGTGCGATGCGTTACAGGAGAGGTTTCTGAAATGGACAATCTTGTGCTTTTTTTTTCTTTTTCCTTTTTTTTGCATCTCTTCATTTAAAACCCGTTTTGGTTCCTTACTTGGTCATTTTTTTATTTTTTTTTTTTCACAATATCAGTGAGTTTTGTGGTTAAAAACCCAACAGTGGTTAAATTCCTACCAGAAACCATCATTTGCATCTTTTTTCCATTGACTGAGAAACCAGGAATCTGAAGTGGAAGCGGAGGTCTGTGTTTGCCTTCTGGGCTCTGGTGGGTGAGGGACCCGCGGGGTGTGAGGGGGTGGGAGCACCCAACTAGTGCAGGGAGAGCGACTGGTTTTGAGGCAGAATGGGTTTAAAACTCGTGTTTAACCCCGCGTTGGTGAAGGGCCTGGTAGTGTTTGACAGAGCATCATCCTCACTCGCGAGGGAGCGACCGGGTGCGGCGGCGGCGGCTCCCGGAGGCGCAGTTTGGCCGCTCTCCCGGCCTGTAAAACCAAAGTACCTTTCCACGTGAGGTGCTTGTCTGAGCAAAAGGTTTAAAAACGCTACTGCTTTCGGTATTGCTTAGTGCCCCGAACATGTCTGGTGTGCCTTATGCCTTACTTTTAGATGAAGATTTTATGAACTGTTTACAAGATGTTTTACAGCAGGACCAGGGATACTGTATGCAGTGGTCTTCTGCAGTACTGGGGTAAAATTCCATTTCCTTTTCCAAAGCCCTAGCGTCTGTCACACGCGCCCACCTGCTCCTCGTGGTGGTCTCCTTCCCGAGAGTCAAACTCTGAATCCTCTGGAGTTGAGATTTGTGGAATGCTGCTTTTTGTTTTCTCTCCCATTTAACCCTTTTTTTCTCTACCAGATATGAACGTGCATGTTCAGGAAAATTATTGCACTAAATTTTTTTTTAATTTTTTTTTTTTGTGTAGTAGTAGTTAAGTGCCAAAATCACGGCAACCTCGAGAGAAGGAATAGAATTCTACGCTACTTAGTACTGCAGTATGTCCTATGGGCTTTAAGAGTTTAGAAGTTTTGCAAATTAGTAACCTACTAAAAGGTAGCTGCATATTCGTAGAGCTTCCTTTGCGTTCCAGCGTGTTTTTGTACTTCCAGAAAAGCTTTGCTACGTACGGATCCACACATGGTGAACAGACCTGGGACTTTTTTCCGCGACAGCTGAATTGACCTGTCGGGTCTGTTGGAGCATCCTTTTTATTGAATCACTGTGCGAGGTCACGTTTCTGTTCGTGTTTGCTGTTGGAGACAGAACTCTGTACCCTCAAACCCCGCATCTCGGTTAATGGGACACTGTCAACTATTTTTCCTTTAATACTCTAAAGTGCCTAGCACACTTTTGACGCTATATAAAAAAAAAACAACAAAACCTTCTTAGAAGTTGCATTCCTAGTTTATTTTTTGTGTAGCGCTGCACTAGCCAGCATGGCTGAGTCTTGGCTTGCTCCTTTGTGCACAGGTACCATTGCTCTTGGCAGGAATGGTCTCATCTCTGGGAATTATTTTATTTTTTTTCCTTAACTAGAGTCCCACAAATACCTTTTGGTGTCACGCGAAATTGGTCTCTTCAAAATGTATCACTTAATCCCCAGATCAGCGGATCTTAAAAAAAAAAAATTGTCTTCGGTGCCCAGAAGACTTTTTACATCGTGTCAAAATGTGGACCTGAGCCTGTTGAAAGTGTCCCACCCGCACAGTGTTCTTGTGGTAAAATCCCCTCCGGAGTGCTGTCCCGGGTCGTCCGTCTGTCCGGGAGATACGCAGTTAATTGTTAATTGAAAAGAAATGCCTTATGCATCTGTGGCTATTTCAAACCGAGAAATCTAAATTTCGCATTTCCAAAAGCATATCTTAATTTGGGATTTACCATGGTTCCCGACAGAAGAGTTAGGTACTTTGTCAGATTTCATGGCTAAATTAACGCCAGTACGTCACAGGCTTCCAGCCCTCCCTCAGAGTGGGGGGGGAACGACCCAAACCCCCCCCTGGTTCCCCGCCAGTGACGGGGGGATCCCCAGCTCCCGCCTTCCCAAAGGATTCCCTGCAGGATCCTGCCTTCGATACATATCGAGGCCGTAATTCGAATTCCCTCGCCGAACAACGCGGTCCCAGTTGGTGAATCTTAAAAATGGCTTAATCAGACTAGGCTTGCTCAGAGATCAAAACTATTTGAATTTGCTGACAAACGTGCAGGTTCCGAGGTGATGAGGTGCAACCGTTTTATAATTATATACAAATCTTCAGGACACCAGAGTCAAACAGCCCGAGGCTCTTATTTTGATTAGAAACTATTAGCCATAAAGCAGAGCATATGGATGGCTCTTCTTGGCTTTTGATGGCAGTATGCAATTTGTATTGTATGTGTCTTTTAATATATATGTATATATATATGAACTCAGTCTGTCCAAAGTATATGTTATACTTGTTTTTAGATTATGGTGCAACTGACTATATTGATATATTATTTATTGAGTGCTGAATCGCCATCTTATTGGCGATAAATCTTGCATATTATACAGGAGTGCAATGTATATTCCTTTAGATTACTGAGGCTTGATTGCTGTGATAACGAAAAAATGCCCTAAAATGTATTTATGAATGGCCCCAACATACAGAGAGTCAGGACTTTATGCAGAAAAAAAAAAATAAATGTAGCGCTTGCCTGGGGCAAGTAAAATAAAGCCGTAGGCAGATAATTATGTCGTTTGCCAAAATGGCAAACCACTGGAGAGAGAGAGAGAGAGAAAGAGAGAGAGAGAGAGAGAGACTACCTTTGCTGTATTTAAAGTTTCATTTACCACACAGGTATTTGCCGTCACTGCAGTGTTTGTGCCGAGGCAGATGCGAAAGGGCCTGAGCAAGTCAAGTTTGAATTACCCATTGGGGAGCAAACAACTTCCAAATTCTTAGAGATTTCTGACAAATCCTTTGGTCGGGGTTTCCCTTCCTCCACCTGGTGAATCAGTGTTACGGAAACCCCCCCTGTTTCCGAGCAGCAGAGTTCATGCCGGACATCTCTGCACCTCGAGGGCAGCCAGAGCTTTCAGTGGCCACCTCAGCCCCATCCACGGCTGTTCCAGGAGATGATTCCCTGAGGAGGGAAGCTCAGGGCAGCCCCAGCAGTCAGGGAGGGGGGTGTGTGTCTGGCTCCTCTGCTTTCCGAGGGCAGGGTGTGTGTGGCCGCTGGGGAGGGGGCTCTGTCCTGGGGAGATCCTGCCCCGGGGGCTCCCTGGCCCTCAGGAAGGTGCTGGGCTGAGCGTAGGGAGCGATGGGACACCTCGCCGTAGGCTCTCTCCACGTAAATGCTTCACCTCTTTTGATTTCATCCCTAAAAGCTGGTGGAAACCCACCCGCTCCGGGCGCCTGGGAACACAGCTGTCCCCCCCCTCAGATTTTATATGCAGCCCTGGTGTTGGGGGGCACTGGGGGGGACAAGGGGACTCCTGCCGCGCTGGGTTTAGGCAGCGTCGGGCGTTCCTCACCCACAAACTCAGCTCTAAGGACCAGGCATGACTTTTGCAAGCACAGTTCCTGACATTTATATCTGGTCCCCCCTTTTAAATTGTTTTAAGAAATTTTGTATATGGAGGATAAAGTGCTTATATATTTATTATTAAAAAAAAAAAAATCCTTTATCTTATTTGAAATTATTATTTGGTGAAGAAGGGTGGTTTTTTTTTCTTTCGGGGGAGGGCGTGTGGGTGGGGGAAGGTAACTTTTAACCTGTCACTTATAAACGAAGCCCTTATTACTCACCCAGAAAGGTACTTACTGTTCGTAACTAATGGGATGTCTCTGTTCTATGCTTTGTACACGACGAGTCCATGTGTTACATTTTTGTTTCTATCAAAATATTTAGGCATCTGTCTTCAACCAAAACCTGAGAGAAAACAAACTGTGATTTTATTTGTTGCAATACATTTGAAATTTCAAAGGGTACTTTGGGGCTCAAAATTAGGATTTCTAAGTCAGTATGTGCATTTCACGTAATAAAGCTGTTAATGGTGAGCAAAGTATTATATACTAACTAGATTTTTTCCACATCTGTATAGTATATTCTATGTATTTTGTGGTATTGAGATTATAGAAAGTTTAGTGTCTGAAACATGCGTTTAATGTGTATTTTTAAACAAATTTATGGCAATTAAAATATTTGGAGAAAAGGGTATCACATTTCAATTTGTAAAGATCTTTTTAACTACTGTGTCATTAAAATGCTTTGTACAATGCAAAACTGTTATACAAATCTTCAGGACACCAGAGTCAAACAGCCCGAGGCTCTTATTTTGATTAGAAACTATTAGCCATAAAGCAGAGCATATGGATGGCTCTTCTTGGCTTTTGATGGCAGTATGCAATTTGTATTGTATGTGTCTTTTAATATATATGTATATATATATGAACTCAGTCTGTCCAAAGTATATGTTATACTTGTTTTTAGATTATGGTGCAACTGACTATATTGATATATTATTTATTGAGTGCTGAATCGCCATCTTATTGGCGATAAATCTTGCATATTATACAGGAGTGCAATGTATATTCCTTTAGATTACTGAGGCTTGATTGCTGTGATAACGAAAAAATGCCCTAAAATGTATTTATGAATGGCCCCAACATACAGAGAGTCAGGACTTTATGCAGAAAAAAAAAAATAAATGTAGCGCTTGCCTGGGGCAAGTAAAATAAAGCCGTAGGCAGATAATTATGTCGTTTGCCAAAATGGCAAACCACTGGAGAGAGAGAGAGAGAGAGAGAAAGAGAGAGAGAGAGAGAGAGACTACCTTTGCTGTATTTAAAGTTTCATTTACCACACAGGTATTTGCCGTCACTGCAGTGTTTGTGTCGAGGCAGATGCGAAAGGGCCTGAGCAAGTCAAGTTTGAATTACCCATTGGGGAGCAAACAACTTCCAAATTCTTAGAGATTTCTGACAAATCCTTTGGTCGGGGTTTCCCTTCCTCCACCTGGTGAATCAGTGTTACGGAAACCCCCCCTGTTTCCGAGCAGCAGAGTTCATGCCGGACATCTCTGCACCTCGAGGGCAGCCAGAGCTTTCAGTGGCCACCTCAGCCCCATCCACGGCTGTTCCAGGAGATGATTCCCTGAGGAGGGAAGCTCAGGGCAGCCCCAGCAGTCAGGGAGGGGGGTGTGTGTCTGGCTCCTCTGCTTTCCGAGGGCAGGGTGTGTGTGGCCGCTGGGGAGGGGGCTCTGTCCTGGGGAGATCCTGCCCCGGGGGCTCCCTGGCCCTCAGGAAGGTGCTGGGCTGAGCGTAGGGAGCGATGGGACACCTCGCCGTAGGCTCTCTCCACGTAAACGCTTCACCTCTTTTGATTTCATCCCTAAAAGCTGGTGGAAACCCACCTGGGCGCCTGGGGACGCAGCCATCCCCCCCCCTCAGATTTTATATGCAGCCCTGGTGTTGGGGGGCACTGGGGGGGACAAGGGGACTCCTGCCGCGCTGGGTTTAGGCAGCGTCGGGCGTTCCTCACCCACAAACTCAGCTCTAAGGACCAGGCATGACTTTTGCAAGCACAGTTCCTGACATTTGTATCTGGTCCCCATTTTGTATATGGGGGATAAAGTGCTTATAAATTTATTATTAAAAAAAAAAAAATCCTTTATCTTATTTGAAATTATTATTTGGTGAAGAAGGGTGGTTTTTTTTTCTTTCGGGGGAGGGCGTGTGGGTGGGGGAAGGTAACTTTTAACCTGTCACTTATAAACGAAGCCCTTATTACTCACCCAGAAAGGTACTTACTGTTCGTAACTAATGGGATGTCTCTGTTCTATGCTTTGTACACGACGAGTCCATGTGTTACATTTTTGTTTCTATCAAAATATTTAGGCATCTGTCTTCAACCAAAACCTGAGAGAAAACAAACTGTGATTTTATTTGTTGCAATACATTTGAAATTTCAAAGGGTACTTTGGGGCTCAAAATTAGGATTTCTAAGTCAGTATGTGCATTTCACGTAATAAAGCTGTTAATGGTGAGCAAAGTATTATATACTAACTAGATTTTTTCCACATCTGTATAGTATATTCTATGTATTTTGTGGTATTGAGATTATAGAAAGTTTAGTGTCTGAAACATGCGTTTAATGTGTATTTTTAAACAAATTTATGGCAATTAAAATATTTGGAGAAAAGGGTATCACATTTCAATTTGTAAAGATCTTTTTAACTACTGTGTCATTAAAATGCTTTGTACAATGCAAAACTGTAACTGGAGAAACTAAGTTTAATAAATATCAAATAGATTTTCTGTATTAAACTTCAAACCCGCTGTGCTGGTGTCTGTCGCGTGGCCCTTCTCCCTCCAATTACTTTTTTTAAGCAGAGTTTTATGTGTCTGTCGCGTGGCCCTTCTCCCTCCAATTGCTTTTTTTTAAGCAGAGTTTTATTTTTTTTTGATCCCAGTGCTTTGTGTTTAACAAAAGGCAAAGAGCATCCAGTCGTATTTGTGTCCCACACTTGTTGGTGTTTGTCTAATCAAAAGTGACTTTGTTTCTTTTAGCCCCCCCCAAGTTAACATGCAACTGGTCGAAAGTGGATTTTGATCAATTTATTTTAAAACGGTAGGTGCTTCGGTGGCAAAAGTCAGCTCAGGACACTCTTTGAAGTAAGTTTGATTAGAAGTCATTAAAAGTAAATCCTTTTCCTCCCCGTTATCTCTGGGCGTGTTTGGGATATCGGCGTGGCTATCGGCATTATCACTTTGTTTGCTCCTTCTTTCTACCAGGGCTGTGTCGGAGGAGCTGGGACTGAGGAGGCGGCTCATGGGCTTTCTGTGCTCGCCAGGGTGAAGGAGAAATGTCTAAAGTCCAGGCTGAAATAAGCACTTCTCCATCAACGGCCTGACCTGCTCTCACCATACACTCTGCTCAGAGGATACAAGGAAAACCAAGGTGGTTTTGCTGAATACAAATTTTTTAATTCACACCTTAAAAAAATAATAATATATAGATATATATATATATAATGTGAGCCATTACAAAAAAACCCAAACGAAGAGGAGAGGCAGAGTCCTTTTATTGAGCTTGGCCAGAGAGTTGTCCTGAGGCATGTGCTGCAGAGCTACAGCCCTGGCTCGGAAACGCTCTCCGGCTCTTTGAAGTCCTTTTTGGCAGTTCGTGTGACAGAGATGTGAGATACACTTGTTGCTCCAGTCACCGTCCTAGTTTTTTGAATGGCCAATAAATATTTGAGAGCAGAGGGGAGCACGGGGAGCAGTAACAGTGATGGGTGTTCTCCTGGCGACAGGTCACTCCGAGGCAGTTCTGAGGAAGCAGCGGTTCTTCCTGGAAAACAAAACAACCATCAGGCGCCGCCGGATCTGGGGACACATCCTCGGGTATGTCCTCCAAGGGGCTCCTCTTGCCATGGAGCTGGGCACATCCTGTTCCCCTCTTTATTCACTTTGTTTTCATTCATTTTATATTTGTTACGCACTATGGAAACCCCTTTCTGTCCCAATCCCCACAGCGGCTCTCGCGATTCCGCTCCGTCAGGGGGACAGGACCAAACGATGGGTTTCAAGTTGGCCAGAGAAGCTGTGGCTGCCCCTTCCCTGGAGGGGTTCAAGGGCAGGTTGGGGGGGGCTTGGAGCAACCTGGTCATGGGCAGGGCAGGGCATTGGAACTAGATGATCTTTAAGGTCCCTTCCCACCCAAACCATCCTGTGATTCTATGAGATGTGTGTGAAACAGCAGCCTGCCTGCCATGGCCTCTTCTATTTGCACATGGTAGAAATTGGATATATTCTACCTTGTCTCCTCTTTCTGGTGCGTGTGCGTTTGGTGCCACACACCATCAGTTTTCAGTCACTAAGCAGTAATTTTAACTCATCAGCTTAAATAGGTGTGGTTGGACAATTTGCTTGTGCTCATGAGAACTAAATGGTTTTTGATATTTTATCTGTCTTAAACTATGAGCTTAAGTAATCACCTTAAAGTGATTAATTTAGGGTAAGATACTGCTTTTAATTGGTAGGTGCTTCCAAGTGAACAGTATTGGCTTTAAAAAGGCTTAATTTTAAGGTCTTTAGGTGATTACCTAAAAGCTGTCTGGCATCCCATAGTCTTCTTGTGAATGACAGGTTATTTTGGGTTGCGATGAAAGGACTAAGGCCCGTAATCAAGGGCACGTGGACTCTGCTCTGTTTGCACTGCTTACAAAAGAAGTCTAGATCTATTGCCCCATCCCTCTTCCTGGTATCTTCTTCTATGCACGGAATTAATTCTGTGTCTCGTTTGGGTGAGAATAAGCGGGAAACTTTCCCTACAGGGTATAACCCCAGTCTGTCCCTGCGCGTCGGGGCGGCGGCGTTACCTGCAGAGCATGGTGATGCACTCGCTGTTGTCCCTGCAGGAGGCTCCTACAGGTCGCAGGGAGACCCCTCTCCAGAAGGGTGTCATCCTCCTCTGCCGGCTGAGCTGGGGCTCCCGGGGGGGCAGGGAAGCACAGAGCGTCTGGAACAGAGTGATCCCCACACGGTCACAACCTCCACCCCGCGGGGGCTCAGTCAGACCCGTCCCCAGCTCCACAGTCTCAAGGGAGAAACGTGAAATCTTTCTCGTTTTCACATCCTGGCACACTCTGTTAAAGTATAAATTACTTGTATCCTAACCCCAAAGAAGTAGTATAAAAATTAACTATGTTATTTAATCTTCTTGGGAGGGAAGGCAGAACGACTTGCTAAATTACATCTGTAGTGATAGGATGGGGGAAGGGTTTGACCCTGCAAGAGGGGAGATGGAGCTGAGCTGTGGGGAAGAACTTGTTTGGTGTGAGGGTGGTGAGAGCCTGGCCCAGGTTGGCCAGAGAAGCTGTGGCTGCCCCATCCCTGGAGGGGTTGAAGGGCAGGTTGGAGGGGGCTTGGAGCAACGTGGTGTGGTGGGAGGTGTCCCTGCCCAGGGCAGGGGGTGGCACTGGGGGGGCTTTGAAGTCCCTTCCCACCCAAACCATTCTGTCATCTCAGAGTAATCCCGTATTCCCTAGGCAGTTACTCTACTTTTTATGACGTTGAATCCTCTAGGAGATCCCTACTGTCACCTCTAACTCCTGCCAGTTATTCTTGCAAATCCTAACACTTTTTATTAACTGCCTGAGCATTTAAATTAACGCCTTAAATAGTTCCCCCTGGTTACCTGGCTGAGCAGCAGTGAGCAGAGCAGTAGGGCTGCCATGGCTTTCCAGGAGCGCATCTTCCCGCTGCGAGCTGTCACTTCCACCGCGGGACCGGCCGTGGGAGGAGGAGGAGGGAGGAAGAGCCCCAAATAGGACTTCCCAAGCTTCGGCTAGATTTTTATAGACTTCATTCTCTTATCGTTGCATCAGCTGTCAGTTGTTACAGGAACAAAGGTCGTTTCGGAGCAAGAGGGAATTACCAAGTTAGCATCTGCTGAAGTGATCTGGTTCAAGGCCTGTCTCTTTAGCTAATGATTTACTCTCCTTCCACTTGTACTTTGTCTGGTGGCTTTACCAGATGTGCCAACTGTTCCTTTTTTTAAAACCTACCTAACGTGTTACCAGAACTCCCCGCTGTATTTGCAAGCAGGAGGGTGTTTGGCCCAAAGTGTTATGGTAAAGATCAAAAGCCATAACCCTATTTCGCTTCCGCGTGGCTTTGAGTTTGTCAGCCAGGGGGCAAGCTGGTCTCAGCGGCTCATTTGGGGCAGGGAATCCCGCTTGGGATCCTGCTCCTCGCTCTTGGTACGGGAAGGAATCACCAGGAAGTTGCTTAACCTTCCTTTCCACGCAGATGGCACTTAAAAAAGCAGGTGTAATACTTTGCAGATGGGTTTTGGAATGTAAAAATATGTTACGTGTGATAAATAATAGATCTGTTCTGCCAAGGATCCTGATGTGTAGTTGAAGATGGTGGTGTCTAGAGAGCTAACCCCCAGGGTTACCCCCCCGAGGTTAGCTAACCCACGAGGCTTTTCGGGAGCTGAGTTGCTCCACGTGGCCAGAGGATGGTTTCTTTAGAGCAGTCTGCTGCTGGACCCACAGAGTCACTCACCATTAGCCTGCTCAGAAGTGCCAACAGCCCCCACTGATGGGGACGGGCAGCTTGTAATTAAGAGGAATCTTAATTTTTTCCATTGTGAAATGAGACTGCGACAGCCCAAAGAAACGAGTGGTTAAGAAGGCCTAGGTGTTACCTCTCCTTATAATTCTCTCAGCTTTCAAACACGGGGGTAAGGAGGGGGAGCGTAGCCTGAGGTCACTGGTCTGTAAATGCTCCTTGCTGGTACCCACTCTTCCTCCTCCTCCTCTTCCTCCTCAGCTGTGAGATCTCATGCCTCCTGCTCCCGCATCCCTCCCGTGAGTGCCAGGGCTGCCGGGTACCGGGTTTCTGAGATTGCAGAGTAACATAATAAAATACCAATTTACTTGTGGAAAGTACCCAGAGGCTTCAGAGCGCGCTGTGTTTGGAATTGCTTCAAGTAGGAAGATGCTGTATGAAATAACAAACTGCATTTTAGCTGAATTGGAAATAGAACTCTGGATCTAACCGCTGCTGTGATTGCTTGATACAGAGGCCCAAGTGCCAGCGTGGAAGGCCAGCTACTTAGATTAAGATAGTGCCAAGCTGTCAGGTTCCCGTCTGCAGGTGATTACCCCGCAGCCCAAGCTGCACTGGAGTAAATAAAACCCCTTTGCATCCTATTGTTGACAGCCGCTAGTGGGAAATTTGTTCCTTTCCTCCCGTGGTTCTTACACTCTTTCCTCTGCCCTGTTTGTCTTCCTTCCCTGCGAGGAGGAATCAAACCCCTTCGTTATTTCACCTCCCTGGGGCTTACGGAGGGAAGGAATCGGGACGGCGGCACACAAATAGCTAACTTGAATGTTTCATTTACATTTGGCTCCAAATGTAAATGTTTCACCTCCCTGGGGCTTACGGAGGGAAGGCATCGGGACAGCGGACGGCGGCACACAAATAGCTGAACTTGAAGGTTTCATTTACATTTGGCTCCAAATGTCTCAATTGTTTTTCCCATTAATTCCTTTCTTTACAGGTCTCCGAGCTCTAATTCCTGCTGTTTCCACTGGGAGAGGCCAGAGAAAGCGAGAGGCAGCAGCGGTTTTGCCGCCTCCCGGGGAGGACGGGAGCTGAAGCGAGCGCTCTCTGCGCCTGCCAGCTTTTGGGGAGGTGAGACCAGTACTTTGTGACGACACGTCAAAATTGTTCTCTGGCCTTCTGGGTTCCTCATAGCATCAGCATATTTCTGTCTGGCAGCAATCTGTTTACTCTGGGCAAGAAACTGGGGGAAAAAAAAAAAAAAGAGTAAAACCAAACCAGCTGTTTCCATGTTACAAGCCCAGCACGACAGGAAAATGCCACGGCAAAGACGTTACGACAAACAAACAAACGACACAAAATGTTGCTCTGTTGCCACTTCTGACATTTGGGAAAGGCAGAACAGGAATTAATGAGATGATTGAAAAATTTTCAGAAGCTTTGTTTGGATTCTGAAATACCCACTGGCCAAAATCCCAACCACCACACGTCCAGCAGGAGCCACCCCTGCCAGTGTCCATCCCCCTGCCTGGTGGGAGGCGCGGGGGCAGAGGAGGCAGAGGAGGGAAGAAGGCTGCGAGGCCAGCAGTGGAGCCAAGGCTGAGGAGGCACAGTTTGCCTGTTGGCCACCACCTCTCTGGGCTGCGGTGCCCGTGGGGGTGAAGGTGCCGCGCTGTTGACAGTTCAGACAGGGTTCAGGTGCCCGTGAACGGGGGCAGAGACCTCGCGAGGGGACTGAGACAGCACTGTGTGCCTTCAGCATTGCTGCCAATACAAACTGCCTGGAAAGAACTATTTTACTGGAGCTACCCGGGTAGAAATTCCTATGTTGCTCTCATTTAGGCTACTTGTCAGCTGCCGGGGGTGCTCTTGGAGGCCAACTCAGCAGGACACGAGCAGAGCTTGGAATAAAGTCTGCCTCTAGATGTCTTTGCCAGCTCTCGCAGCTGCAGCAGCCCCTTTCCTGCTCCCTGCTCGCTTAAACTGCCCAGAAAATGCCACCGAGCTGAAACGTGGAGTTAAATTTAAGCCCAGAATATTTTTAGCACAACCTGGAGCACGGAGTGACTTGTGCTACTCCTGTTTATACCAACCTTGGACTGTGCTTGGAGTAAACATGAGCGGTAGAACAGCCTAAAACCAAGCTTAAATGTTTATTAAGAGACCCAAAAGCATTTATTTTTATAGCATTCAGCTATTGAAATTGCACACCCCCCTCCTAACTTCTTGACGTGGGCGACTGAGCATCGTTGTCTTCCAGAGAGCCCAGCCCTGGGAGAGCAGCACAGGGAAACGTCACTCCTGCCCCTGGATAAGATAAACCCTCGGTACCAGCTCCAGGAACAGCACGACAGGAGATAAACGCGTGGCTCCGCGCAGGGCATGAGCCTCAGACACTCGGCTCAAGGCTGAAAGGACAAAAAAAAAAAGGGGGTAGAGGAACCAGCCAGATGTTCTGGACTTTGACCAGTGAAGCTTGTTTGTACACTTGGAGCCACGGGGTGAATTTGTCACATACTTAAGTAAGTTTACTAAACACTTTTTAATCACCTCCAGGTATTAAACAGCCTTGTTTCTCCTGGTAGTTACCAAGAAGAAACTTCTGCTCCGGCCTTTAACACTAATTAGATATCAGAGTTGTAGTTAAGCATCTGATTAACATTACTAAAGATGCTAACTAGGTAATTAGTATCACAGAGCCATAGAACAGCCCAGGCTGGAAGGGACCTCAAAAGATCCCTTTTTTTAGGAAGGGAGCCCAGATGACGTTATCCAATACCCCATTTGGTCACCAACACCTCCCAGGGAGGTTGTTCCAGTGATTGATTGTTCTCCCAGAGAAAAAAAAATCCCTCTCTTACAGGGAGGTGCAATCTCTGCTGGTGCAGACTGTACCCACTGCCCCACGTCTCCTGGCCGTGAAGGGGGAGCCTCTGTGTGGGGCTCGAAGTCCAAGTTCAGCCCCAAGCCATCAGCCAGCTCTGGCCGCTGCGGTCAGTACCAGCAGAGGTGGCCTGTTTGGTGTTCACAGGTACCAAGGTTAAAGGAAAAAGCAGTGGCCAGGGATGGAAAGGGATGGAAAGGCAAAGGGAGCAAGGAGCCGTTATTTCAGTCACCTCCAGCTGACGGCAGCCCCGGGGACACCGAGAAACCCCTCACAGAAACAGGAGCCCCAAAAGGCTGGAAACGCTCCGAGATGGGGGAGTTGGAGCAGACAGAACTTTAGCCCGATTATCTCCCTGCACAGAGTGAACCAGACAGAGATTTGCTGCCACTCACCTTAAAGCATCTCAAGACACAGATTTCACACAAAGTCATGGGACAAAGTTAAAGTTTATTATTAGACAAGATTTATCTCCCCCTTTATACCCTTCTGGTCATGTGAAGGAGCTTAGCAACACCACGCCGATAACGCAGGGACGTAACAGTCTCCTTATTAAGTCGATTACTGGTCGTTTTCATAGTCAGCAGGGTTCTTCCTCTTCAGCCTCTCAAACTCTTGTGTTCCCCAGGAGTAGAGGAGATAGGCTGCCACGAAGGCTGGAAAGGGAAGGGGACACTCACAAGTGACACTGCAATCAGCACAGAGCCACTCGAGCCACTGGGCCTCTGGGACAAGAGACCATGGTAAACACAGGTCACACTGCACAGACAGAAGGGTCAGGGCTAGAAGGGACACAGGTCACACTGCACAGACAGAAGGGTCGGGGCTGGAGGGGACCTTTCAGATCATGGGGTCATCAGTCATCAACCCAGCACTGACCAACCCACCACTGACCCGTGTCCCTCAGCCCCACATCTGCCCGGCTTTGAAATCCCTCCAGGGATGGGGAATCCAACACATAGAATGGTTTGGGTGGGAAGAGACCCCAAAGCCCCCCCAGTTCCAGGGATGGGGAATCCAACACATAGAATGCTTTGGGATGGAAAGGACCTTAAAGCCCCCCCAGTGCCACCCCCTGCCCTGGGCAGGGACACCTCCCACCAGCCCAGGTTGCTCCAAGCCCCCTCCAACCTGCCCTTGAACCCCTCCAGGGATGGGGCAGCCACAGCTTCTCTGGCCAACCTGGGCCAGGCTCTCACCACCCTCCCACCAAACAAGTTCTTCCCCACAGCTCAGCTCCATCTCCCCTCTTGCAGGGTCAAACCCTTCCCCCT